ATTAGTTCATAGCCTTAGCCTAGGTTTGTTCACCTTTGTTCATATTTTCTTCTGCAAATTCCAATTTAGATTAGTTTTTAAACATTTGGAAGCAACTTAGCCTTCAAAACAGGTCTGCCCTTTTGATTCGGTTAGTTCTTCTTCCTTTTATGGATTTAGTTATGTTATTCGTTCATGTAAATAGGATGAATGTTTTCTACCTTTGTTCTTTTGTTTCTGCACAATATCTAGACATGCAGTTTGTTTAATTTCAATTTCCAGATTTAAATTTATAAGTTCCAGACTTTAATCATTTCATAGTTTCTTCTTTAGTTTTAGTTATCATTATGGGCTGCGTAGTTGAAATCATTGTCTGTTATTTTACTTTTTCTGTTGTTTGCGAATTTAATCTTCATGACATGTTATTTTCTGTTCTTTTTTTCATGTTAGTTTAATTGCTTTAGGATATTGCATTTATTTTAGGATTTGTAGCTTTTATTACACTTGTTTGGTTGTGAAGTCCTTGGAGGTTTCCAAGGCAATTAGTAACCCATTTTGCAGAACTCTACCCTCTTTTTTGCAACATCGTCTGGGGCGCAATTGATTTCACAGACGTTCTTTCCGGCCATCCCATTGGAGGTCGACCGCTGGAAAGGAGAATGGTCGTCTGGAAAATCCTATTTTCTTGTTTTTAAACAAAGCAAGTGGCACACCTAACATCCAACTCACGTGGTAAAGGCCGGCTGAGGATTTTTAAGGAAACACCTATAATAAAATTAGATGTTAATATTTGTCAGTTGAATTTTTAAATAATTAAAAGTAGAAGTACCCAAATTACATTGTCTCCACAAAAAATAATGACAAATGACACTAAAATATGAGATTAATGATGTTAAGTCACATCAATTAAAATATTAAAAATATATAGTTATATTATTTAAAATATTAAAAAATAAATTTTATATTATTTAATAATTGATTCTTCTTTTTTAAGGGAGATGCTTTTTGTATAACATTTTCATCCTATTTTTTGTACAACTTGATGTGTTATTAAAATGATTAGTTTTTTTAATTTATGTTGAACCTATGATATTAAATGTATCTATTCATTTAATAACGTGTAAAAATTATATAAAAATGTGAGAAAAAAATTGTCCCTATAGCACCATTCTTTTTTTAATCTATAATATTATATTCATTAACTAATTTAATGATATGTCATAAGCCACATCATTATTCCCAAAATTTCGTCCTAAATTTAATGATAGGGAGGACGAAAATTTAGAATAAAAATTTGGGATTAATAATGTAATTTGTATCATGTCATCAAATTAATTGATCCATATAGTATTGCAAGTTCTAAAAAATAAAAAGAGCTAATAATTAAATAATATAGGATCTACCTTTTAATATTACGCCACGATATTAATCTCATATTTTGGTCTCAAATTTTGGTCCCATTTATCATTTTTTATTTTATTTTTGAATTAAGGATTTAATATAATTTTTATTTTGCATATTTTACACTTAAAAAAGTAATAGAAATAAAAAAAAATTTATAATAAAATAAATAATTAAAATTAAGAGATAATTATAAAGTTAAAATTAAAAAAATATTTATCTCATTTAAAATATGAAAAAAAAAATAAAAAAAAGTTAATTATTTTTAGACGAAATCTAAATAAAAAAATCTATTATGAAAGAAAAGTTATCTAAATAGTGGTTTTTTTTTCTTTATCTTGGTTGCACAATGGAAGATAATCATCTCTTATCCTTATCTTACCCTACCTACATGCCATACAACTCAAATTTAGGATCTCTTACTTCTATTAGAAGGAGATAACCACTGAAATACTTAAATAGTTGGCATGGTTAATTAAAAATAAATATAAATTTTATTAATTAGTTATTATATTTAAAAAATTAGTCAAGAATGAAGGGAGTAGTAATAAAATAATTTAGGCTGGGTTCGGTTTAAGCCCCTGAAAAGGGAATCTGGGGAAACTGAGCCATTCTGATTCTTGTTTTAGCCCGAAAATTAAAAATCTGGGACTTATTCATTTTAGTTGGTTACGATTTGCATTAATCAATTATCAAATCTGAATTCTCTTTCTTGACATAATATATGGGAAGAAAAACTTCTTGAGAAGTCATCACTTACCTCACTTTTTAATAGGTTATAACCAATTACAATTCATTTTAACCAACTATTTCAAAGCATTGGATTATGTACCATGACTCTGAAATTCCTAAACCCAGCTGAAAATTGCTGGCTTATGGCTACCCAGGATTCTTTTTCCTGGGGGACCATCCAAACAGGCCCTAAAGGTTGGAACGAAGGAGCATTCCTAAAACTTTGACTTTACCGTCCTTTCTGACTGAAAGGACCGTAGTTATTAATCAGAATGAAGGGCCAAATATTTGGACTTGTGCAATAGTGACAGGTACGGGTGAGAATTTTTTAGTATAAGTTGGGTATCACTTATATTTAATATTTAAAATAAAAATTTTTAGGTTTAGCTTTTAAGATTAGATATTTATTTAAATATTTAAAGATCTCCAACATGTACTAGATAACTGGTAAGTATTTACTTATGTACTTAATTTAAAAAAAGAAGAGGCCTTGCATGATTTGTTATTACTACATATGTCATGTGTTTAGTTTAAGATTTGTTATTTATATAACTTGCTATTGTTGCTTATGTAATTTGTTTAACGCATAGATTTTACTTTACTTTTTTTATATTTTATTATTTTTATTTTTGAAAATTATTTTTATTATGTAGACATTTTTATTTGTTACTAAATGTGCTTTTTAGCATTTCAATTTTTTTACTTATAAAAATATAATTGTTGCCTAATTCATCTAGTTGTCATTTTGATTTTGTTGCTCTCCTTCTGAGTTTCTTTCTATGGCTTCTTATGGTATTTTGGACTTTTTATTAGTGATGAAAAAATTAGTAATAAGGGATGGGTTGGTCACAATCATTTACATTATAATGATTATTTTCATTGTCACAAATCTATATTGTAGTTTATATTGTATTTGTAACTTTTTTTAATAAAATATCTTATTAGTTGTGAGTGTATTTTGCCAACAATGAATGTGAGCATATTAATAACTAAGTTCTGTCATTTATTACAAATATCATAATTTGTAGTAATGATTTTTATGATAACAAGTATGTTTTTTATTTGTCACTATTTTACAATTACAAAATATCCTTATAGTTATGAATTTATTTTGTCAACATTAAGTGTGTGGTTGTTTGTAACAAACATTTAAAATTTATCACAATTATAATGAGTTATAGTGATAATTTTTGTCATTACAAGTATATATACTCTTTGTGATAGTATTTCAATGAAACAATATCTTTTTAGCGACAAATTTTTTAGGTTAAGCCCCCATTTTGGTCGAACCCTTAATTGAGTCTCTTAACTTAAAAAATCTCTAATTTGATCTTACTGTTTCTCATTTTGACCCCAATTTGATCATTCTGTTAAATTTTTACTGACATAGCTTATTAATTAACAGTAAAAGAATGACATGTCAAAAAACTTTGGACACATAGATTTTACAGCATGGATAAATGAATGACATGGCAAAAAAAAATTAAAAAATTCCTTTTTTTTTCTTCCTCTCTTTTTTTCCTCTTTCTCGTTTTCCTTCTTTTTCATCTTTCTTCCTTCTACTACTGTAAACCCTAACACCTGAAATGGCAGAACCCTCAAATCACCCCTTAAAAAATATGAGTAGGGATGGATCCACGCCTCAAAAAAATGAAGGGACATTTAGCCCCTCAAAATTATTGACTGACCCAAATCACTCATTATTTAACTGTTGCTATCATCACCGTCACAATTTCCGTTTAGCCTGGCCAGCATGTCATGTTTTTACACGTTGGAGGCTGATGTGTACCCTTCCATCATTTTTTTTTTACACTATGTCACCCATTTTTCATTTCTTGGACCCCAATCTAATCCAATTCATCAAAGAAGAAAGGATGCATAAACAAAATTGAACCAGTTTGCTTGCAGACTTCAATGCTCCATGGTCCACAATAGGGAAAAATAAACCGCCCAGAAAATGCTTTTTCCTTTAACATGGTGTACACATGAACCAGTTACAATCTTCATCTTCCCAAACAGAGATTGGAAAACAGTTTCCCAGAAAAATAAGAATTCTTCAAGTAAGGCAATGAACTATCAAAGTCAGTTGCAGTGAAACGCAGTTTAATTCAATCGACAAAATGATGAAACTTTTAGCGGCTATAGTAAAATTCAGTTGACAAATCAAAAACCCAACTCCAGATTTGTGTGAATTTCATAAATGCTTGGTGGGAATGTTTCATTTATGCGTCGAAGCCACGTTGAACTTGTTGTCTTCCATCGGAGCTCGTAAATTTAGATCGATCGGAGACTTTTTCAGCTGGGTTGAAGTTGCAATTATAGTTGCTGGGTTTGATGAAAGCATGTGAGATCTCTTGTGTCCACCAAGGGCTTGACCCAACCCGAACACTCTATCACAGAACAGGCATTGGAATGTCAGCTTCTTCACCTGGTCGGAGCAAATCCTCTTGTGTCTGCCCAATGCGGTGGGAGATCAAAACGACATGTTGCATTTCTCACATCGGTACCTCCCGTGATTCTCGCGCAACTTGATCTTCGCTGCTTCTAGGTCTTCTTCCTCCTCCTCCGCTGTCTCCACACTACAAGAAAATCCACATTTAGTGACTAAATTATTGATCATTAAATCTTTATTTTTCGTCACAAATTATTATTAGTGATAAAATTTAAACCGTTAGTAAAACCCTTGTCACTAATACTCTTAGTGACAAATTAAGCACATGTCACAAAAAATAATCTTATAGTGATAGAAAAAATTGACATTGTTAACAAGTTATTTATAACAATTTTATTCGTCACAAAAAAATATTCCTCAAAAATGCCATTGTGATGAAAAATTTAGTAATTAATTATTAAAATTGATATTAAATAAAAAAGATATTTATATAATTACAACACAAATATTTTAACAAAAAATTTTGTCAAAAAAATAATATATAAATTTATCAGAAAAGTTTAATAAAAAATATTATTATTTCAATACTAATCAATTTTGATTAAAATTAATCAAACCCGATTAAAATTAATCAGATCCAAACTAATCTCAAGTTTTATTGAGTTTCACATGTTTTATAGTGCAAAATTTTATTTTCTTAAATATTTTTTATCGATGTGGGATATATTTATAGTGCAAAATTTATTTCTCTTATATGTTTTTTATCGATGTGGAATGCATTGATTAGAGAAAATTGACAATTTTTAATGATGAATTATTTGGTCATCATTGAATGTATAAGGTATATGTGACCAATATTAGAATTTTGTCATAATTGTAATGCATTATAGTGATGATTTTTATTGACAAAAACTTATTTTATCTTTATGAACATTTTTCGATGACGAAATATATTTTTTATGATAATTTTTTTTGTTCATTATTAAATATGTATGCATCTGTGACTAATTTTTTTAATTTGTCACAATTATGATAAGTTATAGTGATGATTTCAAAATTTATCACAAATTTCTGTCACTAAAAATCATTTTTTTTGTAGTGCATCTTAACTTTTTTGACCTTCCAAACATCCCTTGAAAGCATCATGAGACACATGGCAACATCTTCCTCTGGGGAAGTATTAGAGATAGAACTCAGCAGTTCCGTCACTAAATTGATGGGGATTAGGGTTTCTGAAGGAAGTTGACAAATTGGGATTAGGTTAGGGTCCATGAAATGAAAAAGGGTGATACGGTGTAAAAAAAAAAAAAAAAACAAATGATGGGATGGTACACATCAGCCTCCAACATGTAAAAAAATGACATGCTGGCCAGGCTAAATGGAAATTGTGACGATGATGACATCGACAATTAAATAATGGGTGATTTGGGTAAGTCGATAATTTTGAGGGGCCAAATGTCCCTTCATTTTTTTAAGGGATGGATCCGTCCCTACCCATATTTTTTAAGGGGCGATTTGAGGGTTTTGCCCACCTAAAACCACCTTCGAGTTTCCTCACCAAATTCATTCATCTTCTTATTTGAGCAAGAGGTACTATTCTTTTTCTATATTTGGTGGTAAATGTTTAGGGATTCGTTGATTCTTATTGTTTTGGTGGTAATTTCTAGGTGTTGATACGGATCTGCTAGGGATTTGTTGGTTTTGGTGCAGGTTTGTTGGGGATCTGTGATTTTGTGTATTTATTAGAATTCGGGTATTTTCTGATCGATCTTAAGGTGGATTCCTTTGTTCTTTTTACTAGGTTTCTTTCAAACCCAACAAAAAAGAGAGATTGGAATGGAAAATGTCCAGATTTGGTGTTGAGGGAGGGATAAAGAGAGAAAGAAAATGAAAGGATGAAATTGCAGGGTTCAATGGGGGCAACTGCAAGTTCGTCTTTAGGGTTTGTACAAGGTAATTAAGGTGAGAAAGAAGAAGGAGAAAGGAAAAGAGGAAAATAGAAAATTTTTAAAGTTTTTTTTGCCATATCATTTTTTTTTTCCTAGTTAATGGGACATGTGAAGGCCAAGTTGGGGTTAAAATGGAAGATAGTAGGGATCACATCAAGGATTTTTGAGTTAAAGGACTCAATTTAAGTCTATACAATAGTTAAGGGACCAAAATGAGAGTTTAACCTTTCAAAATCAAAGTCCATTAAACTAGAAATCCATGGCATTTTGAGAAGCAGAGAAAGACGGTGCAACTTTTTCAATTGCAATCCAACCACCCCCAAATCAAATACATGCTCTTTACCTTTTTAATCCTTCATTCTTGATTCACGTCAAGATTGAAGAGAATGTTTACACAAAAATGAAAAATGATTCTCATCCTCCCAGCAAAAATGTAAGTTCCATTCACGCCATCTTGCTCTTTCTTTCTCCAATCTTTACAAATCAAATCATTAATTACAAAGAATATCCTTTCCTTTGCTAAATCTTAGTAAAAAAATTATGGAAAAAAATATATATAAATGTCAACTTTTAAAATAAATTAAAGTTTTAATATTAAATTATATCATTTTATTTAATTAAAATTTAATTTAAATTTAAATATTAATATTTAATACGATATATTTTAAAATTTTGAATTTAAATTTTACTTTTCAAATATAAATTTTCAATTATAAGTTGAAATTTTTTTTTTTTAAGAATATATGTACTAATTTCAAAAGTTATATACTAATAATTATTGTGTAGTTTGAATTATAAAATAAATAATCAAAAAAATATATTATTTAAAAAAAATAATTGGACCTATGTCTACTTGCTGGTATCATTTATCGTCTCACCAAACCAACGAACCATAGTAATTAAACTAATCATTTAAAAACTTATAACCAAAATATCAATCCTGGTTGATGAAGCAAAGCTTTAATTTAATTTAATAATAATTGTCCAATGATCAGGGAACAAACTTATTGCCCGCAGAAAGTGACTAAATAGTCCGACCCGAAGCAGGTACAAGTGCTCGTGGCGTCGTCATAAGCATAACTGTAAGCGGTAGGGCACGCATTCTTGAAGATCGATGAGTACTGCGTCGGCGGGCACGTCTGTGGCGTGCTGTGGACGCCACAGTAGTACTCCGACGTGTTAAAAGCGAGGCAGGCGCGCTTGCACGCAACGACAGAGTCTGAGTCGACGATCTGTAGCTCTGCCGGACAGTTCGCATTGAGATCCTTCGTGCAACCGGCGTACTGACAGTCCCCGGAGTCGCTAACTGCCCTCACACCTAGGCTACATTGTAACCGTCCACCAGACTGACATCGTAGAAGTCCTTCGAATATGAGTCGGATGCGATTGTGAATTCCACAAGGGACGCTGGTGGCGCGCCACCGCCTCTGCACTTTAGTACGCCACCGCAGTCGCCAGTGATGCACTTTCCAGAGCCGGACTTGTAGTGGTGGTAGTAATCCGAGATCAAAGTCCGACCTCCGACCTCGCACATCCTGCAGGTGCCCGAGGTCGGGTACTTCGGGCATCTGGACTTCCAACTGGAATCACCTTGGCAGTCAGGAAGAACGAGCTCGATCGAGCTCGAGCTCATCCCCCTTAATCCTTCTCTACAGTGACTCCGTACGTGCAAGGATATTGTAAGGAAACCTTATGGGATCATTGACACATATAATCCTGATTTCTTGTGAAGAACAACACGTGGATGCCCCCTTTGGAGGCTATAAATACCCCCCGGGAGTCCTCTCTAAAGGTAATTGGAAAAACCGAACTCAAACACAGCTCTCGACTTGTATTTGGTAGCTCTGATTATTGCTGACTTAGGCATCGGAGTGTCTACCCCGATGACCCACCTCGGGGCTTTGCAGGTCTACCGAAGTAAGCAGGTCGGGACCAGAAGTACACCAGTTCTCTTGCAACAACATTGGCGCCGTCAGGGATATTACTGGCCCAACATGCACGAGGATGCCAAGCAATTTGTCCAGAAGTGCCAAAAGTGCCAATTCTTCGCGCACCTAACCCACCAGCCAGCGGAGGAACTTACGAACCTACTGGCACCTTGGCCTTTTGCCTAGTGGGGGCTGGATCTGTTGGGTCCTTTTGTCAAAGGTGTAAGAGGAGTGACACATCTGATTGTAGCAGTTGACTACTTCACAAAGTGGGTCGAAGCACGACCTCTGTCCCGCCTGACCTCCAAAAAGATTGAAGATTTTGTCTTTAGTGCAATCATCTGCCGATACGGCATACCTAATCAAATCGTCACCGACAATGGACCTCAATTTAATTACACCTCTTTCCGGCATTTTTGCTCCAGCTATGGAATTAAATTGCTATTCACTTCGGTTTATCACCCCGAGACAAATGGGATGGTTGAATCAGTGAACAAAGCTATTCTGGAAGGAATCAAGCCGAGGTTGGACCTGCTCAAAACCAAGTGGGCAGATGAACTCAACAGCGTATTGTGGGCTTACCGAACTACCACTAGGACGGCCACAGGCGAAACGCCCTATCATCTGGCCTTTGGGACTGAGGCAGTCATTCTTTTTGAACTTGGTATCCCGAGCTTGAGAGTTAGCCATTTCGACCCAGCCCGAAATGACCTACTACTCCGGGAAGATCTTGACCTCTTGGACGAAGTCTGTGAACGTGCTCGACTTCGGACAATGGCATATAAGCAGAAAATTGCAAACTTTTATAACAAACGAGTTCGCCGTCGAAGCTTCAAAATTGGTGACCTCGTCCTCAGAAAGGCAGGACTCACCGGCTTCGAAACCCGCTTCGACAAGCTAGCACCGAACTGGGAAGGCCCGTATGTGGTGGCCGAAGTGCTCCCCCGGCGCTTATGTACTTCAAGACGCCGAGGGCAAAAGGATCCCTAGAGTATGGAATGTAAACAATTTAAAAAAATTCTACTCTTAATAAAGCTTACTCCTATCCAGCTTAAACGCTGCATTTCTCGAAGTCCAAGTGGTGCACTTCTTTTTACTTTGGAATGAGTTTCAAATTACTCATTTTATATTCGAAGTCCAAGTTCGTTTCATTCTTTTTATTTTTATTTTTTGAAGTCGAAGTCCGAGCTTCACTTCAGCCACAATCATAGCCTTAAAACGTATTACGTTCTAATGTTTATTATCTAGAACTACGAACTCACGCACCCATACAAAAGCACTGAAATATAAAAACTTTCCTTTTCATTAATTCTATTAAACATAGTACATTGTCATTACAAAAAAAAAAAAAAGATAGAGGGGAGTAGGCCAAAGTCAGTCGATCACCACATGCTGCTGATCCACCTCTTGTTCAGCCGCGGTCTCTCCGACCTCGGCAGTTGCAGGAGCCTCGGTCTCTTCGTCCACGGCGACGAACTCGTACTCGAGACGTGGGGGGAGCACAGTTCGTCCAGCCTCGTCCTGCTCCCAGCTAAGAGTTATGTCTGGCCGGAACTCAGCTGTTCTACTCTCCCCATCCTCTTCCACCCCAGCCTCCTCAGGTCCAAAAGTGATTTTCGTCACATCGACCTCAGGATTCTAGGCCTTCACCTTCTTCCGGCAGTCATTGAATGCCATCACCAGTGTAGGCATGCGGAAGAGGTCCACAATCTCTAAAAACGTCTCCGAATTGACGAACTCAGAGACGTGCTTCTCAACCAAGTTATGCACCTCAGGCTCGGTTCTCCTCTGCACCTCAGCCAACTCCCCTCGCGCCTTCGCTAGCTCTTCCTCGGCTATTCTCCTCTTCTCCACCTCAGCATCGGTGGCTGCCTTGGCAAAAACCAACTCCTCCCTGACTTTCTCGAGCTCTGAAGTCAGATCATTGAAGTTCTGCTCAGCCGACTGCTTCTGCAGGTTGAGCTTGTCATATTTGTCAACCAGGTTATTCCTCTCCTTGAGGCAGTCGTAGTACTCAGCCACCAAGGCATTGATGAGATTCACCGTATGCACAAGAAACCAATGTTAAACACTAAGTAAACAAATCAAAAATAAAGTCCTGCAGTTCGAGTTCTCACCTCGAGCGCGTGGCGCACTACTCCGGAGCCCCCATGCTCCTCAACCTGATGCCGGGCTCTGTTGAGATCCACCTCAGGAAAAGTGGACCTGATGAAGCGCTTGGCAGCCGTCTTGCTTGTACTTTCGTAAAAGCTTGACTTCTGCCTAGGAACAGGGGACTCCTTCCCTTTCCCATGCCCTACCACCCCCACTTCGCGTAGAGATGGATCAATCTGCACCGGCGGAGGTCGAGGAACGAACTCGATCAGCGCATCGGTTTGGGGCTGCTGCACCTCCTCCACCCTCTTTCTCTTCTGGGCTGCAGCTTCCTCAGCCCTCTTCCTCCCCTGATCCGAGCTAGGACCCACCTCAGCTCGAGCACTCCCCTCCGAGCCAGACCTCGAAGTCCCACCAAGCACCATTTCCCCCACTGAGGGTGCGGCCAGAGCCTTTGACCTCTTCTCCGGTAGTGCTACCGTTTTCCTCTTGGACATCAACCGGTTCATCTCTTCTGCAAAGCAAAAAAATGGAGGTCAGTCAACTATCTATTTTAAACGCGCCTGAAAGTAAGTAACCGACCTCTAGTCATAGAGCTCGGCCCATAGACCTCTGCCGCCTCTAACATCGCCGGACTGCTGAAATGCATGATGTCCAGTAAATCCTCACCTCTTCTCTCCAACCTCTCCACTTCCTCTCGTTCCCCCGAGCTCAGCGAATACTGATTCGGATTCGGCTTCTTCCTCTTCCACCTACTGAGCTCCGTTACCTCTACCTCTGATTTCTCCCACTTCGTATCATCCACAAAGAAAAATTTATCTTTCCACCCCTTTATAGATGAAGGACCTGCGCTGAGCAGGTTCCTTCCCCCTCCTCCAGCCACCCGGGGTGTGAAATAAAACCACCCCCGCTCCTTATTACTACCCCCCTTTATCAAGAAAAAATACTTGAATATATTCACTGTGGGGACTACCCCTCGAGTTCGGCAGTATACCAAAAACTCTAATATGAGCCGAACTGCGTTGGGGACGAGCTGCGTCAACCCCAGCGCCACTAGCAGCTCGGGCAGTGGAAACCTTAGCCTGGCTATTAAGTAGTGCCCGTACACCGGCATCCAATGATCCCTTGGAGCCGAGCACACCCTTTCCCTCTCCCCAACCGGCCTAAGTAGAACGTGCCCCGGAATGGCATACTGTTCTACTAGGTGGGAGAGGTCACTCCTCCTCCTCCACATACTCTCGTACCCCACCACCTCTGACACCACCTCCTCCTCCTCATTATAGAACTTGGCCCTATCAGAATCTACCTCTAACACATTAGGAGGAACCCCCACCTCTACCACCTCACCTCCAACCCCCCCACTCCTCTCACTCCTTGAGCTCTCCACTTTACTCCCACTGGTCAAGCTCAGTTCTTGCTCCCCCTCGCAACCTCCAACACTTAGTGTCTCTTCTGATGACATCTTTCGTGACTCACTACAAGTAGGATGAGAACAGTTAACTTCCTACTTTGATCTCAAACCTACCCCTAACGTTCTCTACTGGAATCTAAAACCAATCACTAAACTCCAAAATCAGAAGCTGAGCTTAAGGAATTACCTGCTCTTGTGATGACCGAAGTAAAACACTTAGAAATTTTCTGAAATACCACGAGCTCGAACGGCGAGGTGATCTCGTTTCACTTCGGCAGCACTTCGCTATAGAATCAACAAGGTAAATTCTGAATAGCTCAACTCCGGCTATTTATACTGAAGCTTCCTTGCCCATCAACGGTCACGATCGTCCACATCTGACGGTAACAAGCGCGACCTTTCGAATTCGGCAGTTATTCCTGACTTCCATTTATTGCAGCGCGTCACCCGAGAACAGCTGTCACCCCCCGAATTAATTTTTAAATATTACTGTTTTCCCTCCGGTTTCATTTGAAAACCGGTCCAAATTTAACCAAACCATGTTTATTACTTCTCTCGGCCACGGCCGCACCAAATGACCACGTGTCATGATCTTTACTTCGGCCACGGCCGCACCACATGACCACGTGTCATGATCTTTACTTCGGCTACGGTCGCAACACATGACCACGAGTCATGATCTTTACTTTGGCCACGGCCGCACCACATGACCACGTGTCATGATCTTTACTTCAGCCACGGCCGCATCACATGACCACGAGTCATGATCTTTACTTCGGCCACGGCCGCACCACATGACCGCGTGTCATGATCTTTACTTCGGCCACGGCCGCACCACATGACCACGTGTCATGATCTTTACTTCGGCCACGGCCGCATCACATGACCACGAGTCATGATCTTTACTTCAGCCACGGTCACACCGCATGGCCACGTCATTACCCCTCACTTCGGCCTCGGCCATACCATGGGACTGGCAATCATTTCCACCTCAACCCGAACCACATCACACACCAACTCAACCCTTCCCATCATTCACAAGTGAATGACTTCGAGGGGGGGGGAATAGTGTAGTGGTGGTAGTAATCCGAGATCAAAGTCCGACCTCCGACCTCGCACATCCTGCAGGTGCCCGAGGTCGGGTACTTCGGGCGTCCGGACTTCCAACTGGAATCACCTTGGCAGTCAGGAAGAACGAGCTCGATCAAGCTCAAGCTCATCCCCCTTAATCCTTCTCTACAGTGACTCCATACACGTAAGGATACCATAAGGAAACCTTATGGGATCATTGACACATATAATCCTAATTTCTCGTGAAGAACAACATGTGGATGCCCCCTTTGGAGGCTATAAATACCCCCCGGGAGTCCTCTCTAAAGGTAATTGGAAAAACTGAACTCAAACACAGCTCTCGACTTGTATTTGGTAGCTCTGATTATTGCTGACTTAGGCATCGGAGTGTCTACCCCGAGGACCCACCTCGGGGCTTTGCAGGTCTACCGAAGTAAGCAGGTCGGGACCAGAAGTACACCAGTTCTCTTGCAACAACAGGACTGGTCAAACGTGCAGCCGGTTCTGGCCCAGAATCGGCCAGACCAACCGGGTGGGGCCGTGAACTGGACCGAGGCACCGGCTGCCAATTCGAAGCCGCCATCACCGAGAATCGCCGTGCCATTGCGGAGAGATTACCGGGCCAAATTGTATAACTGCATTGATTATGAAGACTGATAACTGCTGCGGAGCTTAATATTGCCCCTGAAATTTTCCATCAACAACACATATATAAACCATAAAATCATATAAAAAAAAGTCTAAAGCTACTATTATTCAAACAGTTTAGTCGAGTTAGTGTTTACAAATTATAAAATTTTAATTGTCGAGAGTTCAAACTTATGCAAACAGTTAAGCAGAGGAGGAAGGAAATCACAATTACCTAAATAGAAGAGGAGAAAAACGAGAAGGGGTTTGAAGCCAATCGCCATTAGTACTCTATGTGACGGAAGAAGAAGGAATATGGAGGCGGTTGAGCTTTGTGGAGGAAGGAAATTGTAGGGGTTAGGGTGAATGCTGCTAGATCGTGGAAGTTACATATATATACATGCTTCATTAAAGGAGGGTCATGCGAAAATTTCGCATTAATTTTAAGATTTGTCTACATGTATTCTTTAGATTTATTTACACTGTATTCTTTTAGGAGTGTGGTAAAAACCCACAAATTGCCATTTAACTTTTCAAGTGTGTGAAACTTTATCCCTCACTTTATAATATGTGATTTTATACCTTCATGATATTCAAGTTTATGATTTTATACCTTCATGATATTCTAGTTTACAATGTCATACCCTCCTAAAGTTGTAAGATAAGAGATAAAGTTTCACACACTCGAATAGTAGAAGGGTATAAAATCACATATTACAAGGTGAGGGGTAAAGTTCTACACACTCGAAAAGTTAAAGGGCAATCTATGGGGTTTTGCCTAGGGATGTCAATGGGGCCCGCAGGGCCGGGAGTCCGTCCCTGTCCCCGTCCCTGTCCCCTTGAATGGTGGAGACGGGGACCCCTGCAGGGATTTTTTATGGGCGGCAGATTTTGCCCCCTGTCCTCATTCCCCATCAATTAATATTAAATTATAAATTTTTTTGTCTTTTACATATAATTAATTAATATTCAATTATAATGTATAAAATTCTAAAAATTCAAATATAATTAACTAAAATCTTTAAATATAAAATCAAATATAAATAAAAATCAATTCAACATAAATAACTAAACCAACAATTAACAAATTTGTTCCAAACATAAACAAAGATTAATCCAAGCTAAACTAAAACATAAGCAAAAATTAATTCAAAATAAATAAAATAATTAAATCAACATAAAAAAAATTAGTATTTTGAAAATAAAGAAAATCAATACCAAGAAGGGCAAGGCCGCAACAGAACCGCATATGGCTTTGATAGTCCAGATAACAGCAAGCAGATGGCTTTGGCAGTTTGGCAGCAGCAAGTAGATGGCTTTGACAGTTCGACAGCAGTAGGCAGATGGCTTCGACAGCAGCAAACCAGTCGTGCAGTGGAGGGAATGGGATTTGAGATGGTCCAGCTAGTGCAAAGGAGAAAATAAGGGGCGGCAGAAAGTGAGCACTGAGAAGGGTAAAGGTAGAATCGTAGAAGGGTGGCAATGGAATGGAGGGCATTCAAATGATAGAGTCACGTAATAGAAGAAGAGGGAAAGCCAGGGAAGGTGAAAATGAAAATTGAGAAGTGAATTAGGGTTAGGGTTAAATGTATGTAGAGGAATGGGTTGAGTTAATTTTTATGGATTGAGTTGGGTTGAGTAAAATTGGGTTAAGTTTAATTTTGATTGAATTGGGTTTGAACTTGAGTTTGAACTTGAGTTTGGGTTTGGATTTGGGTTTGAGTTTGAGTTTGAAAGGTGAATTAAATTTAAAATAAAATTAATTTATATTTATTTTAATTTTTGCGGGGACAAGGATCCTCGCAAGACCTTGTGGGGCGGGAAAAATTTCTCGTGAAATTTCGCAAGGGAAAAATGTTCTCCATCCCTGCCCTGCAGGAAGGAATATTGCTCCTTATCCCATCTCTGTGACGGAGATTCCCATGAGGCCCCGCGAGGATCGGGGGAAATTGTCATCCCTAATTTTGCCTAAGAGTGTTGAGTTAATTATTGGATTTGTATACTTAAAGATTTTATTTACATTAATTTTTTTTCCTTTACTATATATGTTCTTGAGAATTAATTATTGAGAGATTTGGTACCTATGTACAAAATCTTTTAAAAAAAATTAATTAAGGATATAATTTTTACAATATTTTGAATTAAGGTTACTATTTTTTAAAAATTTTCAGTCAAAGATATGATATTGCACATCCATTTAATCCCCTTTAGAAAAATCGCAAACGTTAATATTTTTAATTAAAAATTTTTGAAATGTAGTAATCTTAATTAATAAAGAAAAAAAATCATATTCTTAATTAAAAAATTTTTGAAAGGTTATATCATCATTTGTACCAAATCACTAATTATTGGGGTTCCATAGATTTGGCAAAACTTCAAAATAAAGACACGAATTTTAGGAAATTTGAGAATTTGGAGTACAAACTTTAATTGTTTTGACACAATGATACATTTTTTTGGATTTGTTAGAAATAAGGGCACTTTTTTTTTATGGTTGAAAAAATTATTTAGGTTGCATTTGGGAACTTGATTTTGAATTTAATTGATGTAATTTAAATACACATATTTGAAATACATGTAATTCAAATACATATATTTTAAGGTCTTATTAAATTACATAGTTTCATATATTTAAAGGGCTATGAATTTGAAATTGATTTGATGTTAATTACTCCCATTAAGACGTTTTTATAAACACTTAGTATGCAGTTTTAGTTACCCACGTCATTACCCCTATTTCTTTCACTCTATTTTGAAGCACCTTGTCAAAAATCCAAATAAGGTTGTTACTTCAGTTATCACACGCAACAAAATAGAATGGTAATTAATATCTTATATTTTGTATATGTTTAAGCATAACTCAGCAAAAACTACTACCACTCTATCATTTCAACATCCTCATATGAAAATCACCCATCCATTATATTTTAGTACTCCTTCACCCACCTCCATTCCTCATTATTTCGCCTCAATCGCCACAATCGCCACAGCCACCATCGCCCACAATGACCTTGTATGAACTCTACTACCCCATCACCATTGCCAAATGCTAGAAAGACAAGCTTGTGATCATCTTGGGTGATAACAATAGCAAGCAGTCCCTCCTTTCCCTTGACTTGGCCATTGCCCACTTTGCCCACTCTTGGTTCATCAACTCTGATAAAATACAAGTTTACAAAAGTCTCGATATCACCACCAATAAATTACCCTCCATGAGTGACTTGGCGTCCACCACTACTTGCTCTATGAGTTCAACTCAATCGACACCGGCCTAGATCAACAGAGTAGCAAAAATGAGGGGAGAAAAGATTTTGGAGACTAAATATACAATTTTGAATGTGATCATCGAGGCCTCATCGAAGAAAAGCTATCTCATCGCAGAGGAAGATGTAGAGAATGAACAAAGAATTTGAAATCCAATGTCAAATTCATGGGTATGAGAGGGTATTTAAAATACACACCTTTTAGTTTTTAAAATACACAAGTTAAAATATGTGTATTTAGACTAAAATTTAAATACACTCTTGTGTAAAAACAAACAATGAATTTAAATTTGTAACCTCAAATTCAAATTTGTAACCTCAAATTCAAATTTGTAACCTCAAATTCAAATACATTTCTCACAAACTCACGTTGCCAAACAGACAATTATACAAAAAATTGAAATGTAAAATCACAAAGTTGACATTCATGTTAAATATATATAGAGGTTAGTGCTTGTTCGCCTTACCTCCAAAAAATTAGGAGGAAAAAAGACAAAAATCACCTTAATGCATGCTTTAAAAATAAGGTAGTTTAGTCTTTTTCAATAAAAATTTATTGAAACGACGTAGTTTTGGGATGATTTTCCTCCTAATCTTTAGGATGTAAGGTTGATAGACACAGTTTCCTTATATATATATATATATATGGAAAAGGTTAAAACCACATTTTGGACCTTGAACTATTGTATGAACTCCTGATTTGGTCCTCGAACTAAAAAATCCCTAATTTGGTCTCGATTGTTTACCATTTTAGCCCTAATTTGGTCCTTTCATTAAATATCCACCTATGTGTCTCATTACTTGATAGAAAAAGGATGACCTGTAAAAGCATTTTGACACATAGGATGTACAACATGGCAAAAACAATGAGATGGCAAGAAAAAACCTTAAAATTTTTCCCTTTTTTTATTCTTCCTTTGTTTTTCCTTTTGCCTTTCTTCTTCCCCTCCCTTTCCTTCCACCTTCTACAAACCCTAACACTCTCTAATATTAAATTTGAGGATAACACAATAGATCAACATATCAAAGTCAACAAATCCATCAACCCAACGGCTATTGGGTTTGAAACAGAACCCAACACCTGTTGCATTTGATCACCTGCTTAGATCGAAATCGAACCCAACACCTGTAGGAAACTGAGGATAACACAATTGATCAACAAATCGATTAACAAATCAAACTCAACAAATCCATCTAACCAATGATTGTTGGGTTTGAAACGGAACCCAACACCTACTAGATTCAATCACCTACTAGATTCAAAATTTAACCCAGCATCTATAGGAACCTAGCGGCTGCTTGGCTTGAAATCGACTTGAGCAGCTATTGGGTTAGAAGGCACAAAGGAAAGGAAGATGAAAGAGAAAGGGAAAAAGGGAGAGAGAAATGGGGTTCACCAAGTTCGAAATGGAACCCAGCAACTGTTAGGTTCAAAATCAACCCTAATGGCTGTTGGGTTTGTAGAAGGCACAAAGGAAAGGAAGATGAAAGAGAAGGGGAAAAAGGGAGGGAGAAATAGGGTTCACTGAACCCAGATCTGGTGTTGGGAAGGGAGAAAGAAAATGAAAGGATTTAGAGGTTGAAGATAAGGGCAATATAGTCATTTTATTATGTTTAAGGATTATCTACACAATTTTTTTGCCAAATCATGTATTTTGCCATGTTATAAATTCCATTTATTGAAAAGACATGCATCTATCGTTAACTAACATGCCACATCAACAAAAATTTAATGGAAGAACCAAATCAAGGTTAAAATGGTAAATAGTAGGAACCAAATCAAGGATTTTTTTAGTTCAGAGACCAAATTAGGGAGTTTGTACAATAATTTAGGGACCAAAATGAGGTTTTAACCTTTTTTTATCATTAATGAATATGTGTATATCTATGACAAAATTTTAAAATCTATCACAATTATGTTGGGTTATAATAATAATTTCAAAATTCATCATAAGTTTTTGTCACTAAAAATCTTTTTTCTTGGGGTGACATGTACAATTTTAATTATATGAATATAAATAATAGGTCAATCAAACAAATTAGATCAATGAATTGGGTAAACAATTTAAAATCATTATATTTATTATTTGATGCAATATTTACAAATATATTATTTTCATATTCATTACTTACACTGCTACAAAAAAGCCTATTTTTCAGCACATTTTGCATTGGAAAATACTTAAAATGCATTGGAAAATAATAATTTTCCAGCGGTCTGCATGGAAAATGTTGATGGAAAAAAACACGTGGAAAATAGTTATTTTCCGGCACAAAAAATGCGTCGAAAAATTTTTTCTAATATTTTCCAACGCTTCGCATTGGAAAAAAAGGATAATGGCAACCCATTTTGAGTTGCCGTTACCACTTATTTTCCGGCACAAAGCGCCGGAAAATAGTTCTTACTTTAAATGGACATATAGCACTATTTTCCAGTGCTAAGTGCTGGAAAATTGTTCTAACTCTAAATGGATATATGGACATAAGCGCTGGAAAATAATGTCCAGAAAATTAAAAAAATTATTTTTACATGACTATTGTTATACACAATTTGTAAATATTTATAAGTACAAAATAGTATTCAAGATGAATAAATTTACCATAAAACAATATTATATATATTAATCAAGATTATATATACAAAAATCTAAAACATACACTAAATAAACATACAACACATATAATAATTAAAATTAAAGAAATTAAATAGATAAAATGTTAATGATAAAACAC